TTTTTGTCAACCCATTGTTTAGAGTTACCATTCATTGATGTCAGGTATTCGTAAAACTGAGGCACAAAGAGCTCCTGTGGGACACTATTTGGCGTCTGATCCCACACTAGGGCGTCGCTAATCGAGCCAATGATGGCCTGTTTGCCATTGCATTGAAGGGTAAAATAAGTGGTTGTGTTAATTACGAGTTCCTTAAGCACCGACTCCTGAGTGCACTTCAAGTGATCATAATATGTGAGATTGACTTCCGATATAATCGTAACATCTATTTCATTGCATTTAATAATATTAATTGAATTACAAACGAGTGGACAAACTGTATAATCAATACCTGGCATTGGATAGCTGTCCACAAAGAAGAGACCCAATGGACCGGACAGTGGATTCGGTGCACTTATGGGTCCTTTTAAATGAATGTTTTGTATAAATAACGTATTAATGGTATTAGAGATGGACTTACGGGAAGATATATGAGCGGCCAGTTGTGGCCAATTGCCGGCTGGAGATTGAGGCAGTTTATTAACCCAATGCCACTGATCATCGTTTTGGTTCATATATTCACACAATACTGTTGTGAATGTAATAAATGTTAATATTATGTTTAGATTAGTCATCATGTGTTATGCGATAATATCTATAGGAATATTATGTATGCATTGGTTTATGAATCTCATTAAATACAAATCTGTGTATTTTAATTTGTTTTTATTATAAATAAATAAAAATTATTTTTAACATAATTACCATGATCAATATGGCTTTGAGATCGTTTAATAGCTTTATTGGAATAATCATACATATTAACAACAATTTAAAATATTTAAATAATATTGATAAAGCAAAATAAATATTTATAACTTTTATTTATAAAAATTTGTTTATAAATTAATAACAGTAAGATTAATAGCCTATCAATGATAGGCAATATACAGTTTAAGATAATACAAAAAACTTGGTTAGCTAACATAAAGGTAAATGTAATGAGAATTTTATAAAATAAAATAAAAAGTATAATATTGTTATACTTTGTTTTTATATTTTTATAAAAATAATTTACAAATAGTGTGATAATGTTACAAACGATGTTTCTAACATAAAGGTAAATGTAATGAGAATTTTATAAAATAAAATAAAAAGTATAATATTGTTATACTTTGTTTTTATATTTTTATAAAAATAATTTACAAATAGTGTGATAATGTTACAAACGATGTAAACTATTATCTTTTATTTTGGCGATAATTTGCACTTAATTATTTTCATACTGACTCCATTGGACATTTGTACTGGATGTACTGGACATTTGAAAAATTTGAGACAATAGATATTACAGTATAATTTATAGCAATATCATATAGCAATATCATATAGCAATATTTCTATCGTTGTAAAAAATGTCCATATATTCAATTTATGGACATTTTTGACATTTATACGATAGAAATATATAAATTATAAACAAGTTAAGTTTTTGATAAACAACAGATATCTTATTATCCGTTGACATTAACGTTAAATTAGACATTAATTACATAAAATTAAAGTATATTATGAAATTAAATTACTTCGATAATAAGATAAAAACAATTTTGATAATAAATTCATTAACACAATTTCTGAAAAAAAGAATATTAAATTATTAAACTTATTTTTTAAAAAGTTATCAATTGATTAAAACACACGTGTCATAATGTACGAGTTGATCAGGGACATTGGAAGCACTTTTTACATTGACTAACATTTAAAATATGCGCCCCCACCCCCACCCCGGCCCAAACTATGCCCTACTTTATGACACATACTGAATAAATGTATTGATTTTTTAATCAATCATATATTTTGGATAAAAGCGTCAAAAACTAATACACAGTTTATTTATAAGTGCAACGGGTAAAAATTATTTCTATGGGAATATTAGTTTAAAAATGGGCTTTTAATGATGCAAGCTAAATAAATACTGAATTGAATTGCCCTTAAATACGATATGTGTTGAATGAATTGAGACAATTTATAATTCAAGGCCTTTTGCATGCAATTTATTGCATTTTATTTAAAAATATGATCAAAAAGTTATTTAATTAAAAATATCACAAAAATATGGAGTTCGAGGATCTGCTCAAAGAAGTGGGAGATTTCGGAAAGTTTCAAAAACTTTTAATTGTGTTGTTTTTGATACCATCGTCTATAATAAATGTATTGTACGATTTCACCTATATGTTTACGACACCCGACCACTGGTGTTATGTCCCAGAGTTGGCCAATCTATCCAAAGAAGTGCAACAAAATTTAATTACTCCCTTAACTTTAGAGCTGGGATTAGTAGCTCATGAAAAGTGTCGTATGTATGATATTGATTATGGTTTAGTCAATATCACAACAATTGTGTCTCTAATTAACGGATCCGATATTAAAACCAAAGAATGCAACAGAGGATGGGTTTATGACAAGTCTGTATATACAGAGAATGCTGTGACCAAAGTATTTAATTAGTTGTTTTGTATTATGTTTTGTACTTGGCAAAAATATGACATCTAGATCTTACGACCTCAAAATTTACACCTAAATACAGTATTAGTCGTGCATTCCTATTTAGTTGAAAATTTGAAGGGTCCACGATCTATGTAGAATTTTAGAAATACGTATTGTAATATTGTTTAACAAAAAAGCAGTGAAAACTAATTAAAATGTTTGGATATTTTGTTTACTACAAATATGTGATTATTTAGTTTGATTTGGTGTGCAATCGGTCGCATTCCGCCAGTTTAATGATGTCTTTGGGATCAATTGGACTCGTTATCGGAACTCCAATATTTTCCGCGGTTACCGATTGGTATATATTATAGTTTTAATTAATTTACACAAATTCATGAAATTTAATTATAAAGAATATAGAATTCTCATAGCAATTATTATAACACTTATAAAACAACTGAATTTCTATATATGGAAATACATGTACAGTATATCAACATTTGTAATATATTTCTCAAGGATTGGCAGAAAGAAGTCATTCCTCTTCGCAAATATAATCTTCATCTTAACGTTGATTTCGCCGATTGTTTTCCGGGATATCATTAGTTTCTCCATTTGCCGTCTCATCAGCGGAAGCATAGGAATTATATTTTACCAAGTTCCTTATATTATTGGTTTGGCATCTATTTTAATAAATAAAACAATCAAATTAATGCCTAATATAACAAATTGTTTGTGGCATTACTTAAAGCGATGGAATTTGTTGGACCAGACCATCGGTCGATGGCATCGAGTTTGTCAGCAATGGCCTATGCGTTGGGCGGCTGTATATTACCGATTGTGGTCTATATAACCGGTCATTGGGTTCTATTAGCGGTGTTTCAGTTTGCGATTACGATTCCCATCATTATATTCTGGAGGTATAAAAACAATTTAGTTTACTTTTGGTAAAGCTTTTTAGTATTTTTCATTAAATGTAATATTTGACAGATATATCCCAGAATCCGCCTCTTGGCTCATAACACAGAAAAGGTATTCAGAAGCGCATGAAATACTCAATAGAGTCGCAACAATTAATGGACGGACAGCACCTGAAAACATGATGACCCAAATTGAGGCAATTATTGATAATTTATATAACTATCAAAACTAATGATTAACTATTAATATATTTTATATAATTACTAAACATAAGAAAGTGGGCGAAGAGTGCGAAAGAAAAACAAATTCTTGCGGACGAAAGGACTCCGTCTATGATTTGGTGCGAATCCCAGAACTACTGAAACAGACATTGATTTTAACGCTGTTAATAGTGGCTAATGTTGTCGCATATTATGGCCTATATTTAAATGCCCTTAACTTTCACGGCAACGAATTGACGAATTCATTTCTATTGAGTTTAGTTGATTTGCCGGCTCTATGTCTGGGCTGGTATCTCATCGAAGGCAGACTCGGCCGCCGATGGACTAACACAATATCGCTAATGTTTTGCGGTATAAGTCTATGCGTTCCCGCATTTGTTGATCCCTCGCAAACAACTATAATTACGATAATGTCATTACTGGGAAAGATGGGAACCGCCGTCTCATATATGGTTATATATCAACAATCGGCAGAAGTATTCCCGACAACTCTTAGGAGTGAAGGAATGGGCATTTGCTCGACAGCCGGTTCCGCGGTGTCTATAATTGTGCCACAAATTGCTTATTTGGTAATATATTTGTTGCTTAAAACGATTTAATTTTATTATTTATTTATAATCTCTAAACAATAGGGAAGATATGGTCTTTGGATTCCGCTGTTTATAATGGGTTTTGGATGCCTCATAGCGGGCATAGCGTCGAGCTTTTTGCCCGAAACACTCAATGAAAATTTACCACAAAATAGCGCCGATTCGCAAAAATTTGGCAAAAATAAGTCATATTTTTGTTTAGCAAATGTTGTAAACAAAACACATCTTTAATTATTAAGTTTTAAACAAATAAATTTTAATTAAATTTATTAAGATATAAGATATAACAATAAGATATAATTATAAAATTAATTTGTGTTAATTTCTAAATGTATAAATGAATGGCAAATATAGAGAATTGTGTCACAAATCGCACAATTTATGGTTTGTGTGAAAACTACACATTATTAACGTTTCATTTAATTAATAAAGGAGGATCGGCAAATTGGCCCAAGTTGGCAATCGGGATTTGACCATATAACATGAATGTACATGGAATAAGGAGTCTCCTGATATAGTCCATATACCTCAGCCACCTCGGGTTCGGCCGCAGTGACCACTTTTATCGGAAAAATTCAACTTATCCAATACTAATATGTGATGTATGAAATCGATGTAGAATTTAATGTAGAACTAGAATATCGCAATATCACATTGGTGGGGTCAATAGATGTTGTGTTATTTACTTAAAACAGTTGAATTTTAGATAAAATTAGTAAAATAACCTATTATTCCTCAACCCATACTATTGACGTTAACACCACACACATGTTAAAGCCACCTTCAGCACTCTTGACCCAATAGTCACTACCCCTAATCGCGGACCAAATATAAATTGAAAATACATTAAATCTATGCACCCTATCGAGATGTAATTACGATATTCTTCTTCTGCGTTAAATTCTACATCGATTTCATATATAATATGTTAGTATTATATAAGTTAAAATTCTTGCTAAAAGTGGTCACTGCGGCTGAACCCGAGGTCGGATGGTCATATGGAAAAGATGAATCTACTCCATATTTGACGTAGTTCAATGTCATACAACAGATCGCTCTTAAATTGTAAAAAATTTCTAAAAACTAGCTAACCCCATGTCCTCATTACAGATCTAATAAACCCCCATTACAGATCTGCCGATCCTCCTTTATGTTTTAAATAACTTTTTCAACATTCAGAAAGTAATTTCAATTACTAATTTAGTTTATAGTTATTAGTTTATAATTCAGTGATTTAAATCACTTTTAAAATATATACACCAAATATTCTATTGAAAACATTATTATTGTTTTAATCTAAAGTCTGATTTGATCTAAAGTCTAAACTCAATTTGATTTAATACTTTTATTGTAATAATTATTATGAAACTTTTTAATATTTAATTATAAATTTAGTATAGGATTAAATAAAATACAGTATTTAGTAAATAAAATATAAAAAACAAATGAAAGCATTCTTTAAAAGTTAAATAACAAATTATCTAATATTTTAAAATCAAATTCTTTGGGATTTTTTCATTCAAAGCATCGAAAGGTGTCTTGAGATCAGCGCTAAACACAGCGGTCAGCGATCGGTTGGGCTGTTGTTCGCAGACCCGCACACACGTGACCATTGAATCGGTGGTCAGAAGAGACATAGCGCCCGAAACATTGATTTCAGTGATTTGGAGACAGTTAACGATCAGAGCCTCGAAGACAGTGTCCGTCAATTCATCATTTCCCAGGATTGCCAGCGACGACAAGTGTCGGAGGCGTTCAATCGGTGCCAAACATGGGATCATGTCTTCGGTGTTGAAGTAAACGATTTGAAGGTTCAGTTCCCGAAGCGCTGGTATATTGTCGGCGACGGCGGACATAAAGTCTTCGGCGACGACTGCGCGCCGAAGTGTCAGGGAATGCAGTTTTGGACACTCTCTGAGCCAATCGATGGCACTGTTGTCGGGATATGGGATTGTCTCCGAAGGCGGTGGTGACAGCAATACTGACAGCTCTTCCAAATGGACGAGTCGTGAGATCGACGCGAACAGCGGTTCCAACGGAATCTCTTCGAGAATATCTTTGAAGAGATCGATAGATAATACTCTCAATGATGTGAAATGAGTTCCGATTAATGGCATACAATTGGGATCAAAACGAGTGACAATTAGTTCCCGCAACTGATCCACGCGTTTGTCGGCCAATCGGGAAATGGCGGTCGCGTTCAACAGATTACCCGTAGTGTTGATTGACTTAATGCCGGCGTTCATGTGTTCAAACACACGGCCCGTGTATTGGTGCCAAACCCCAGCCTTCAGTGTGAAGCACTTGAGTGCCGGCAATCCCTTCAACAGTAACCCAACGGCCGATTCGCTGATCCCGACCTCATTGATGGTATCGATCCGTAGAGTCTCTAAATTGGGACAGTTTTGTGTCAAAAGCAGTGCCTCTGAAGCAGTGATCCTCAGATGACACGACAGGACACGAATGTTTTGCATGCGATCATTGGGTGTCCGACACATGGCTTCCACGAGACCGGCGTTCAAACCCACAGTCGAAATGGACAGCGAATGGATGCGACCGTATTTGGCCACTAACTGCGCGATGGCCTCGAGTTTCGCTTTCTTGAGCGCCGTTTGCGGCACAAAATCACTTAACACTATGTGTTGGATGTGTTTGGGAAGCACTCGACCGTTAGGTCCCCACAAACAGTCACACATTTCTTCCTCCGAATCGATGACAATCTCAGTCTTTATGTCAAATAAAGCGGTGATGTGTTGTCGCCATTGAGTGCACACTTTTGCGGCCGAAAGTTGACATTTGAGGTCCAATTTGCCCAAAATTATGGCCATTAGTTCGTTGGACAGCAAGAGATTGATGATTGGCTTCGCCTCCACTGCGAGCACCGGTATGTGTCCGCACGGATCCCATGTGACCACCGATGGCTCAGCAGTTGAGTCCATATCTTCTCCGCACTTCTTCTTCATCGGTGTCTCATTGGATGCGTTGAGTGATGTGTCCATCGATTCTGTGTTTGTCTGAGAGAGATGTGTTTGCAATGAATATATTGATTAAATAATGAAGAAAACACTTAAACACTTACCAAACGATTTGCGATCAAAACTAAATTCAATTCAATTTAATTGAAACCAATTCTCAGTTATAATTGAATTAATAATTGCTATGAAATAAAAGTGATTCTATTTTATAGTAATTAACACTTATTTCCAGTTGTTATGAATGCCATAGCATTGCGTGCATTGCGTTGAGTATAACAATACAGTTTCACTCAATTATACAGTTTTAAAACTTGTTGATTGAAAATTTAGCGAAACTTGTTTGCAATTTTGACCGATTTTCGGCAAATGTTTGCTCTTCTGGAAAGTCTAGCCATAGTTCCCGTAATTCTCGCAATTGATCCACAAATTCAATCACAATCTTTAGTATCTCTTCTGTCTTACACTTTTGTCTCGTGAAACCCATATTCACAGAGCATTTAATTGACTGCAAATTTGTGACCAATATTTCGGTTTCGCCGCAAAAGATATTTGAGAGACAATAAACTTTCAAATGAGACAATCGGTGGCAACTTTTCAGACAATTTTTATTGACATTATTAATTCGGGTAAACATCTTGGTTAATATTTCACAATAAATATCATTACTGTATTGCATTTCATAGTAAATGTCACTAAAATGATGGCAATACTCTCGAAGTGCTTCAACCAATCGCTTCAAATACTTGCCGTTGAATGGCATGTCTTGACAGTCAATGGTTTGTAGATTCGGACACTTCTTCGCGATTGTTATTAAAGTTAAATAATCAAAATATTTGGGACCGAAGAGTGCTCTGATTGGTTGACGATCGATAACAATGACTGTAACACTGGTGAAGACAGTCCTCTGGAACTGTTTGGATAGACATTCGTATAGAAATCGTTCATCAAATGAGAGGTAAGACACGAGAAGTTCACACAAATCATCGCCGAAACGATCGAAAGAGTCTTTCGCATAGATTTTAGACATTATTTTGAATATTTATAAATTTAAATGAATTTATAAATAATTATTTATCAAAAAATAACATAAAATTAAAGCGAGAAAAACGCTGTTTTGAAATGAGTTTGAATTTGTTTGAAACAGTTGTGACGAAGATCGCAATGAATCTGTTATTTACAGTATATATCATTTTAAATATGATTTAAATTATTTAATCCGTTTGTTATCTGCATTTCATGTGATTTTTGCAATCAAATGTGTTTTTATCATTTGATAACATTTATTAAATCAATACTTCATAAACACTTAATCCATTGATTCAAACCTTGTTTATATGTACGACAACTTTGTTTTCATATGATTTGTGTGAACTTCTCGTATGTTTGAACATATTTTACAAATTTTTACTGAAAACATATTATTATTATTATTTTTAATCTAAAGTCATTTGGTTTAATACTTTATTGTAATTATGAAACTTTTTAATATTTAATTATAAATTTAGTATTGAATTAAAGAAAATACAGTATTTGGTAAATAAAATGTAAAAAACAAATGAAAGCATTCCTTAAAAATTTAAATAACAAATTATCTAATATTTTAAAATCAAATTCTTTGGGATTTTTTCATTCAAAGCATCGAAAGGTGTCCTGAGTTTAGCGCTAAACACAGCGGTTAGCGATCGGTTGGGCTGTTGTTCGCAGACCCGCACACACGTGACCATCGATGCGGTCGTAATGTTTGGCGCATTCTTCACATCAATGCGAGTGATTTGCGGACAGTTTGTGGTCAACCACTCAAACACAGTGTCCGTCACATCCATACCCCTGAGTCTCAGACACACCAACTGTTGGGCGCGTGAAAGCGGTGCCAATGAGACGATCAGGTCTTCCGATTCGAAGAACACATCACAAAGAGATAGTTCTCGAAGAGTGGGTAAAACATCGACAATGGCTTCAATGCAATCGTCGGTCAGACGCGCGAAATCGAAGGTCAGGGCCTGGAGTTTAGCGCAACTTTTGATGGCATCGATGGACTGGTAGTCAATGTCTGAATAGTCGTCCGTTGGGCTTATACTGAGCTCTCGTAAGTGGACCAGACGTGACATCGGCTCAAACAGTAGCGGTGTTATCGGCAAATAGTGGTCAACATATGCCATATCGTCGAAGAGATCGACCGATAGTTTGCTTAAATTTGGGAAATTATTAGCGATTAAAGGCATACACTTGGGATCATAATAGGAACAGATCTCTAACTCTCGTAACTGATCCACACCTTTGGCGGCCAATCGGGAGATTGTCTTCGCGTTCAATAGTTTGCCAGAAGCGGTGATCGATTGTATGCCGGCATTCATGTTCTTAAACACATGTCCCGTGTATTTACCATAAATATATGTTGCTTTCAATTTGAATGTCTTGAGTGCCGGCAAACCCTTCAATAGTATACCGATCGACAACTGACTAATCGCCACAAATTCGGCCTTAATCTGAATTTCGGTCAAATTGGGATAATTCTCGATCACTAATCGCGCTTCGGATGACTTGATCTGTAATGAATCGCCCGAATACGTGACGTGAAGAG